ATCCACCATGGGCAAAAGACTCTGCTTCTAATACACCACTGCATCTTTAAAAAAAAAATACGTATAAGAGAGTGAAATACTAGAAACCTTGTGGACTTGTATTGATCCATGGATTTGTCATGACAGGAAGCTTCCAAGAAAACAATATTTCCAGAACTCCCTTAGTTTGATTCTCCGGAGGTGCTTCACATTATGGGCCAGATACCATTATGGTAAAATCTAGGAGAGGTGAGGGGTAAATCTTTCATGATGATCAGTGATGCTGTTCACTGAATCTTCCCAGGTTCTCTGCCTTCCAGGCTCAGGGCAGACTCTGTGGGACCAAGGGACTGCATCTTAAAGAGAAACAAAGACATTCTAAAGTGGCTGGTTTCCCACAACATCCTGACAAATTCAACTTTCTTTTGTAAAATGGGGCAAAGTTTACCTTGAGAGGTGAGCTAAGAAGAAAGAGAGTCCGCATTATACGAGGGAAGAGCATATACCAAAGTTGTGCCATGCACATTGAGACCTTTAAACTGCTCACATCATATACCTTTTTAAAGAGTCTCTTTAGCCCAGTTTGAAGATCATTTGTCTAGGGGGAAAAACATTCTTCTTTTTCTTTCTTTCGTTTCTTTTTTTTTTGAGACAGGGTCTCGCACTGTCGCCAGGCCTTGAGTGCAATGGCGTGAACTCAGGTCACTGTAACCTCCGTCTCCCGGGTTCAAGCGATTCTCCTGCCTCAGCCTCCTGAGTAGCTGGAATGACCGAAAGCAACCTCGTGACACTTTCGGCCTCCCAAAGTGCTGAGATTACAGGCGTGAGCTACCGCGCCCTGCCAACATTCTTTTAAATACTTTCCAAAACATAGCTAGGGAATCTCTGTGGAAAATACATTTCAAAGAATTGTAAACATTCTTTTTTTTTTTTTTTTTTTTTCTTTGAGAAGGCGTCTTGCTCTGTCCTCCAGGCTGGTGTGCAGTGATGTGATCTCGGCTCACTGCAACCTAGCCTCTCGGGTTCAAGTGATTTCCTGCCTCAGCCTCCCAAGTAGCTGAGATTACAGGCACGCATCACCACGCCCAGCTAATTTTAAACATTCTATTATTTAAAATAATCTAGTCTGCATGCTATTTAGCTAAGTATGTACGTCCTAACAAACTAAAGAACCAAGAGCATAAACATCAACTCCTCAGGAAAGTGAAACCCTCCCCCTTCCCTCCTCTACCAAGGACAACACAGGCCTGGCCTAGGAGCTGACCAGGAGTCCAGTGGGAAACAGTAGTTTCTGTATCTGGACAGATTATTTTCCATTTTTAAAATTTAAAAAAAAAAACATAAAAATAGGTGTCCCAATATTTTATTTGCATATTATTCTGGCATAGATCATCCCTTAGGATGCATCAACATCATTTCAGAAAAAAAAAAAAAAAAAAAACTAGGGGAATACTGTCTTCTACATTCTCATTAAATTTCCTTTTAATCTGTGGCTAAATATTATCATTCCTAATTTTAGGTCTTTATGATTTTGTTTTGGTTTTCTTAATCAAACTTGGTAGATAAATATTAATTTTATTGCACTGTTTAAGTAATGGTCTTTGGCATTTATCACTTTTTTTGTCCTTCTAATTTATTATACTTTTACATCTAATAATTATTTCCTCTTCCTTTTCTTAGATTTATTATATTGTGATATCAGCTTCTTGAGTTAAACACTAGGTTGATTTTTTTTTTTTTAGTTTTCATCTTTCTGGTTTTGTGATTTAAAAAAATTTAAGATGCTTTTTTGGTTAAGGCATAATTGACAAATACAAATTGTATATACTATATTTACTGTGTAAAATGTGAGTAATCTTTTGATATATAAGTACACTGTGAAACGTTTAAATCATACTATTGAATATATTCCTCACCTCACACACTTATTCTTGGTGGTGAGAATAAAGATCTACTCTCTCAGCAATATTCAAATACACAATACATGTTTATTAGCCATAGTCACCATGCTTACAATACTAGATCTCCCAAACTTATTTTTTTATTAAGAAAGTAAAGGAATGAAATAATGACTACTCCATAGGCAGATTTGTGGTTATTTCTTGATGATATGCTAAGCAAGGAGTGGATTCTTCATGCCTCCCTTTTCTAGACCATATAGGGTAACTTCTTGGTGCTGCTGTGGCCTTTGTAAACTTAGACCTCCCAAACTTATTCATCTTGCCTAACTGAAACTTTGTATCCTTTGACCAACATCTTAAAATGATTTTTTTTCAGAATTTAGCTTTTGTTATATGGATAAGAAATGTTTTCCTGATGCCACTGTCTGAATATATTAATAATGTTTAAATCTGTAACGGCATATTTAATTTCTTTTTTGACTTAAGTCTTATTTAGGAGAGCATCTTGATATTTACAAATAGTTGATTTAAAGGGAGAAAGAACAGTTTTGAAGTTTTTTTTTCTATTTAAAGTTTTTTATCACATTTATAGCACTGTGGTCTTCAAAATCTGTCTATACCACTTCTGCTTTAGGAAGTGTATTACAATTTTTCTCTGAAACATTTTTCTCTGAAACAAGCTGTCGTGGGCTCTCTGAATGGGTCCTGGCTTCCAAATTTAATCTCTATTTCTTCCTCGCTAGCCTTATTGGAAAGTATATAGTCACTTTAATTCTATAAGTAGTTATTTTAAAGATGAATTTCTATTTCTCTGTGTTCATGAGGAATATTGTCTTGTAATTTTTTCTTTATATTTCCTTTGTCTTTGTTTTTGTTTTGAGGTTGTTCAGACCTCATAAAATAAAATTTAAAAAAAACTCTTTTTTCTATTCTTCCTTAAAGTTTGGTGAAAGTCTCATCATTTTCTTATATGATTGAGAGCTTTCTATATGGGAAGGCTTTTAACTATAGATTCAATTTCTTTAATGGAAAAAGGGCTATATAGGTATTCTATTTCTTCTTGTATCTATTTTATTTTTTCTCTAGAAATTTGTCCATTTCCTGTACATTTCCAAAAGTTTTGGGAGAAAGTTTTTCTTAGTGTTCCCATAATCCTTGTCATTTTTCAAAATTAAATGATGTTATCATTTTTTACTTCTGATATTGGTTACTTCTATCTTGTTTCTCTTATTCTTGATAAAATAACTTTTGGCTTTGTTGATTTTCTTTATAGCATATCTGTTTTCCATTTCATTAATATCTGGTCTTTCTTTTATTATTTGGCAAACAAAATATGTCAGAGTAATGCACGTTTCCAAGACAAGGCACTGTCTTCTACATTTGGTTCTTTCTCTTGAATTTGTCACCTCCACCAAATTAAGATTAGCCTAGCCTACTAGAGGAATGAGAGACCATGTGAAACTATCAGGCTATCCTAGAGGAACAAACCCCTAGCCAACCCAGCAGCTAACCATACACAAAGGTGAACCCAGCCAAGACCAGAAGAATGCCCAGAGGAACCCACCCAATCTGCCAATGTGCTTCACCGTGGGTTACATAAATGAATGTTCTTTTAAGCTGCTAAATTTTGGGATGGTTTGTTATGTAGCAAAAGCTAATTGGCATAGTCCCTATTCCAAACTTTTAAACTCAGGAGAAAGGGGAAAGAAAATGTTCAGATTTTTTTCAGTTTTTTTTGTTTTTTTTTCTTGGCAGCTTAGCATTCTAGCAATCTGTGGAGAGGTAGGCATTCTTGTAGGTGGGGAATTTCATCAATATGCTAAGGCTGCACAGTGTTAACTGACTTTATTCCCAACTAGTAGTAACAAAGTGGTAATTAAGAGAAAGTCCGTGGGTCTGTGTTTATGGCATGTGGCCTTTGCTAGATGACCATAGAAAGCTTCTCCATAGCACCCAATTACTGGAAGGTATGAAGATAAAACTGGATCAAGGAACTGGTAGCCCATTTCACGGAAGCTACACCTCTGCAGTGATCCGTAAGATCAAATGGGAGAAGAGGGTTTTGGAATTAGTTCAAGCTTGCAGCATGAGAGATGTCCAGTGCTGAATTCTGTTTGGACAATAGGTGACCTTGGGGCACCCCAAGAAAAGAAGAGAATAACTTACTATTGATAAAGACACCACAGACAGTTTTGTATAATTATGTTACACATATTCTAATAGAAAATGACACATATAATTGACTTGACCTATCATGCTGGCAAGAGTAAAGGAATGCAAAAGCATGAAATTTCCAAACAAAAGAATTGTAAAAGATGATGAACTTTCAGATAGTGATTCTTTGTGCTACAAACACCTTAACCATGAGTTAATCACTACAATGCAATATAGCAGCAAATTCTGACAGGTAAAGGTTTGCAGTTGCTCATTCAACAAGTTTTATCGAGTGCCTGGTATCTATAAGTGGTTGCAAGAGATACAAAAATAATCATAATAAATCAGAAATAGAAGCTTTCTTGTAGGGGTAAGTAGACTAGTAGAAAATAATATGTTAGTGATACTAATAACTTCTTAAAAGTGATGGGGACCACTGAAAGTGTGAATACAATTTTACAGGAATTCAGAGGAGAGTGGGATCAGGCAACGCTTCAGCCAAGGGGCATCACCTGATTCTCAAGGAAAGGCAGAGTTTTAATAAGAAGACACTCCACTGAGGGGGTGGAAGGAGATGGAGGCTATTTCATTCATTCATTCATTCGTTCATTCATTTGGCCAGGCAGAGGATGGAGTTTCGCTCTTGTTGCCCAGGCTGGAGTGAAATAGTGAAATGGTGGATCCTGGGTCACCGCAATCTCCACCTCCTGGGTTCAAGCTATTCTCCTGCTTCAGCCTCCCAAGCAGCGAGGATTACAGGCATGCGCCACCACACCCAGCTAATTTTGTAGTTTTACTAGAGACAGGGTTTCACCACCTTGGTCAGGCTGGTCTGGAACTCTTGACCAAAAGTGATCCAACCCACGTCAGTTTCCCAAAGTGCTAGGATTACAGGGGTGAACCACCATGCCTGACCTAAGATGGAGGCTATTCCAACAAGAGACACTGGCCCAAACATTTGAGTCTGAGCCAGCAGATCGTTTATTTAGGAGGCAAATGAAGACTGAAAGAACACCAAGCTGAAAGTGGATAACTAGTTGTGTGACTGAAGAAAGTTCCCCAGTCAGGGTTTCCATTTCCTCACCTGTGCAATCCGGGTGTAAAGTTCTCATTATTTCTAAGCCTCCTTCTGGTTCTAAAATTCTGTAGAGGTTGGAACAAAATATCATAGTATTTTAAGTCATTAAAGAAAGCTGTAGTCATGGTTTCCTTTTTACAGCATATTGTTGGTCATATCCTTGCTTTATTTAGCATCAAGTCTTTGGGAATGCAATAGCTAATTATGACACTAAAACTATAAAAAACAGGATTTATTTACAGCAGTGTTTTTGACAGGATCTCTTAGAAGACTTTGTATAATAAAATAGAAATGTTATACATTAGTAATGTGTACAGTAGAAATTTGGAAGACATACCAGGAGGAAACAAATCGTTAGATATATCTATAAAACAAGAATTAAAGGCTCTAGGAAGATGTACTTATACATAGCAGAAAAAAATGAGGATTTTTAAAAAATAAAATGATTCATTAAATGTAAAAATGAGAGGTATTACAGAAAGAAGAATGAAGGAAAGAAATGAAATTTTCATCAAAATTTATCTAATGGTTTGATTATACTGAAAATAAGGAAATTTTGAAGCATGGTAATCATCTATAGTTTTGCCTGAGTAAGAATAAAATCAGAAAGAAGTGAAACTTTGAACTTGAACTGAAGAAGAACAGGTCTTCTTCCATGCAAAATGATTGAGTAGTCTGCCCTAACTACAATAGTCTATAAAATCATAAATCATTATTATTTCGTACAAATAGTTTTAAATCTTAAAAGTATTTTATGTTGTTTCTGATATTTCTAAGAGTGCAATTTTTAAATCTACATTTATGTCTTTCTTTTCTTCGTTTTTTATATGGGACAGTGGTCTCACTGTGTTGCCCAGGTTGATCTTGAACTCCTAAACCCAAGAGATCCTCACACCTCAGCCTCCCAAGTAGCTGAGATTACAGGCATGCATCGCCATGCTTGGCCCTAAATCTACATTTAAATTTAAATGCAGAGCATTTATGGTTTAACTAAAGCAGCGGTCATTGCCGTGACTTTCTCCAGAGATTATATCTAGGTGTATCAAATATTGGCCAGGTACAGTGTCTCACTCCTGTAATCCTGACACTTTGGGAAGCCTACACAGGGGGATCACTTGAGACCAGGATTGGAAACCAGCCTGGGCAACATAGTCAGATCCTGCCTCTACAAAAAATAAAAATAAAAATAAATTTGCCAGATGTGGTGGTACAAGCTTGTAGTCCCACTACTCAAGAGGCTGAGGCAGGAGGATCACTTGAGCCCAAGAGCTCAAGGCTGCAGTGAGCTGTGATCACATCACTGCACTCCAGCTTGGGTGACACATCAAGATCCCTTCTCTAAAAAACAAACAAACTAATAGATAAATAAATCAGTTAATCAAATCAACCTAAATTAAATTAAATTAGAATATTACCAAGTTCACCTGTACATTAATGGCAAAAACCACAATTGCCTATGAATCAACTTAACATAAAGTATGATGTATTGTACATGTTCTCGAGTTCTCTCCTGAACCATGCCTAGGAAGTCTGTTGTTAAAGCTAAAAACGTCGTCATTTCACATTAAAATGTAGGTTATTGATTTTTCTTATTTCTTCCCACATTGTCGCTGACCCATATCCTGTAAAGCAGCAAAAGTGCTTTGACATCAGAAGGTGGGTAAGGATAATAGAAAATCACAAATATTTGGTAATTCTGTGCTGAAAAAGTGGATAGACCAACATGTAATTGGTTAAAGGATAAATTCCTGGACTGGATAAAATAGTATTTTATTCTAACACAAGTAAAACATTACACAAAGGAGGTGGACTCATTTTTTTAAAAAAACCAGACATAGATTTTCTATCCTAAAGCACATTTGTGACTGCTAGCAGACAAGTACAGGTAATTGCCTCCAGGTGGTTGCCTGCAGGAAATCATTGAAATTCAGTGCTTGTAATGACAGTTTTCTGAGCAGCAAAAACTAACCTGCAGGAACCTCAGAGGTACAGGTATATTTTAGAATAGCAATGCCAGCCATCTGAAAGGCCATAGATGCAGAATGCCCAATTTAACAGGATACAGATTAAATAAAACAAGTATGAAGCTATGTTAATGATTAACAAAAATTTCAGATTATAAAAAAGTTTTTCTTTAGCTTTAAATATATTTTAAACATTATTTTTCTTACATTTTTACTCATTGATGGTAACTGCCTAGCAATCATTTTTTTCTTCCAGACAAAATAGGAATTATAATAACAGTTACATTTTTCTTAAAGTTCTGTTTTTATGAAAGCTCATGTTCAAAATTAATTTATTATTAAACAATAACCCAGGAATTTTCTCCACTGTAAGTAGACACTCCAGGATATTTAACTAAAGATGGCAGATTAGCCGTTAGCATTTAGCTCATTACTACTGCTCAAATGATGGTAATTTTTTTTGAAAGACACAGCGTACAAAGACAAAATAAACAAGAATGGAAACAACAGCAACAGAAATTTGGAAGCTGGGAGCAGATCTGAGAAAGTTGAATTCTCAGCCAACTGCAGAGACTGCTGAGAAGCCGACTGATTTTTTTTTTTTTTTAAATTTCAAGTACAGATCCAAGAATGGGCATCATTGGATATCTCTGGAAGTTCTGTTGCAAGTAGCGTTGTGGAAGAAGCAGTTGGACTTCTGATCTCCTCCCTACTTCATGCAACAGGTCAACTACCCATCTTAGCAGAAGATCTAAGAGATTTATTTCCTGGAGACAGACACATGGAGGGTTTAAACTGAAAAGCGGAGAGTTAAGCTTACATGCTAAGTGCAAAAACTCCTCATATTTCATAACCTTTTATAGGCTGGAACATTGGTTGCTAAGTACACTCACTCTTGTGAGTGCATACACATGCATACACAGACACATATGCCCTAGGCAAAGAATTACAAGTCTTCTCTGGGGAATTTGACCACCCCAGTAGAAAAGATCTGAAACTACTGCCAATGAGGGTTCCACTAGGAAGAGCAAAGACAGGCCACTAGACAGTGAAGTTCAAAACATATGTGTGTATCTATATACACATATATTTTGAGATAGAGTCTTGCTCTGTCGCCCCCAGCGTGGAGTGCAGTGGCGAAACCCTGGCTCACTGCAACCTTTGTCTCCTGGATTCAAGCAATTCTCATGTTTCAGCCTCCCGAGTAGCTGAGACTACAGGCATGTGCCACTACACCCGGCTAATTTTTGTATTTTTAGTAGAGATGGGGTTTCACCATATGGGTTAGGCTTGGCTTGAACTCCTGACCTCATGTGATCCACCCACCTCGGCCTCCCAAAGTGCTGGGATTGCAGGTGTGAGCCACCATGCACAGCCTCCAATCGGCTTTAAGTGCACCCGTGCCTACTTGGAGTGGCCAACAAGGATCATAGGATAGGATTCTAATCTGAGAGACTCGGAAACAAACAATCAAGGTAAAAAGCAATGGGAGAAAACAGAGGCAGGAGGGGAGGATAACATTTGAAAATGATCCTTAATACACTCAGATAAGATATTGCATATATGAGACAAGAAAAGGGCGCTATTTTAGAAAAAGAATATTTTGAGGAGGAAGAGCTTTAAAATAATTAAAAATAGAATTGTGAAAGTAAAAAAAATCAGTAGAAGAGTTGGATGATAAATTAGAGAAAATCTTCTAAAAGCAGAGGAAAAATAGAAAATAAGGAATAAAAGATAAGAAAAAATACAGGACATGTCTAGGAGGTCCAGCGTCTGTATGACAGGAGTTCCACAAAGAGAGAACTCAAGAAACAGAGAATAGGGACAGGGCGAGGTGGCTCACACCTGTAATACCAGCACTTTGGGAGGCTGAGACGGGTGGATCAACTGAGGTCAGGAGTACGAGACCAGCCTGACCAACATGGAGAAACCCCATCCCTACTGAAAATACAAAATTAGCTGGACATGGTGACACATGCCTATAATCCCAGCTACTTGGGAGGCTGAGGAAGGAGAATTCCTTGAACCCGGGAGGCAGAGGTTCTAGTGAGCTGAGATCACGCCATTGCACTCCAGACTGGACAACAAGAGCAAGACTCCTTCTCAAAAAAAAAAAAAAAAAAAGAAAGAAAAGAAAGGAAATAGAAAATGGGAAATCATCAACGAAACACACAAAAACATTTCTGCCAAATGAAAGAACATGAGGTTTTAGGTCAAAATAAGCCACACAGAATCCAGCACTAGAAATAATTTAAAAACCAACCTTAAGACACATCACTGGGAAGTTTTTTGGAACTCTGGGATGAAAAAAATATATTATGAGCTTCTAGAAAGAAGAGATTTTGTTAAGAAGAATCAAGATTCAGAGTGACTTGACACTTCATAGCAGAAATGCTAGAAGCTAGAAGACAATGAACTTAATACCTTCAAAATTATGTGGAAAAATTCATGTTATTCTAGAATTCTCTACCCAGCCAAATTATAAATTAAGTGTGAAGGTAGAATAAAGACATTCTTAGATTTGCAAGACCTCGAAATCCTTTGTTTGCTGTGGATCCTTTCTTAGGAAGCCCTGGGGTATGGGACCACCCAAAATGCCGAAATAAACTCAGAAAGAAGGAAGGCATGGCATCTGGGAAATTGTGACTCATTCGACAAATAGAAGTCAACCCCGGGGATGATGGTGAAGGGGATCTCATGAAAACTGGTGGGTCAGGCCTAGGGTGTGACTCTTGAGAATACTGGACACAAAGCTCTGGGTGAGCGCTATTGGATAGAACCCAATTAATACAATATTAGATGAATTTGAATGTGTTGAGATGACATTTACGTCTCAGGTTGAATTCTTAAGTACAGTCATGTGTTTTTCAATGACAAGAATACATTTTGAGCCATGTGTCATTAGGCCATCTTGTTCTGCTAACATCGTAGGCTCGGTAGAGCCTACTATACACCTAGGCTATATGTGACAGCCTATGGTTCCTTGTCTACAAACCTGGACAGCATGTCACTGTACTGAATACTGTATGCCACTGGAATACAATGTTAAATATTTGTTTATCTAAACTTATCTAATCATAGAAAAGATGCAGTAAGAATATGGTATAAAAGGTTTTTAAGGCCGGGCGCGGTGGCTCACGCCTGTAATCCCAGCACTTTGGGAGGCCGAGGCGGGTGGATCACGAGGTCAAGAGATCGAAACCATCCTGGTCAACATGGTGAAACCCTGTCTCTACTAAAAATACAAAAATTAGCTGGGCGTGGTGGCGCGTGCCTGTAATCCCAGCTACTCAGGAGGCTGAGGCAGGAGAATTGCCTGAACCCAGGAGGCGGAGGTTGCGGTGAGCCGAGATCGTGCCACTGCACTCCAGCCTGGGTAGCAAGAGTGAAACTCCGTCTCAAAAAAAAAAAAAAAAAAAAAGGTTTTTAAAATGATACACCTGGATAGAGCACTTCCCATGAATGGAGCTCACAGGACTGGAAGTTGCTCTGGGTGAGTCAGTGAGTGAGCGGTGAGTGAAGGTGAAGGATTCATACCACTCACTCACTGTAGTGACACCACTGTACACTACTTCAGACCTTTAGAAACACTTGACACTTAAGCTACACTAAATTTATTTTTTAAAATTTTCTTTCCTCAGTAATAAATTAACCTTGCTTATTGTAACTTTTAAACTTCACTTAGCTTAAAATACAAACACAAGCCAGGTGCAGTGGCTCATGCCTGTAATCCCAGCACTTTTGTAATTCCAGCACTTTGGGAGGCTGAGGCAGGTGGATCACCTGAGGTCAGAGGTTCAAGACCAGCCTGACCAACATGAAGAAACCTCATCTCTACTAAAAATATAAAATTAGCCGGGTGTGGTGGCGCATGCCTGTAATTCCAGCTACTCGGGAGGTTGAGGTAGAAGAATTGCTTGAACCCGGGAGGTGGAGGTTGCAGTAAGCTGAGATCATGCCATTGCACTCCAGCCTGAGCAGCAAGAGCAAAACTCCATTCCCCCAAAAAATGCACATTGTACAGCTGTATAAAATATTTTCTTTCTTTATATTTTATAACCTTTTTTTTAATTTTTATTTTTTACTCTTTAAACATTTTTGGTAAAAACTAAGACATAAACACACACATTAGCCTTGGCCTGCTCACAGACACAATCATCAAGACATCACTAGACGGTAGGAATTGTTCAGCTTCATTACAATCTGATGGGACCACTGTCATATATGCGATCTGTTGTTGCCTGAAATGTCACTGTGCAGTGTATGACTGTCCACAGACAGCGAAGCAAATACACAAACTAAGCAATGATGTTCTTTATGGAAGCACAAATAGGGAAAAATAATCACAGTGAATTGTACGGCTTAGCTGTGAATAGTGTTCTTAGTCTCAGTGGTAACACACCTGTAAACACCAAAATTATAATCTACATGGGGCACAGAGGGGACAGCAATGTAACTGTGTGTGCTCGGAGACAGAGGGAGCAGCACAAAAAGAGAGCTAAAGCTCCACATTTCTGAGTGAGAAGGCAATAGAGAAGGCCTAGATTGAAAAGGCCAAAATTACGTTTTATTTAGAGATGCAAATTTAAATATTAGAAAATTGGTAAAAGAATTGAAAATATTTTTGCCTAGGGAGTAGAGAGTGACAGCAGAGATGG